GAGAGAGAGAGAGAGAGATGGGCAGCGGCGCGGTGGCAGAATGGTGAAGGCACGGATGAAGGAAAGAGAGGCCGTGGAGCAAGAAGGGTACGCATAAAGGGCCATTAGTTAATTAACTCCTAATTATCTGGCGGCGGAGAAGCGAGTGCATAATCGTCAAGCATTGGTGGTGTGCAGTGGCAGCGNCCCCCTATCTGTCTTTCTCTTTCTCTCTCTCTCTCTCTGTCTCTCGTCCAACGGAGGCCAGGAAAGGCTCTGGAAAAAAAGTTCTCCTCGCGCTTCCTTCTGCCTCCCCCATCTAGTGCGACGTCGTAACCGGGGGGAGGGGGTTGAAGGGAAGAGGAGCGTGGCTATTCCCTTCTTTTCCTCCTCCCCCTTCGCCCCCTGTTAACCCGTCTCTCCCTCTTTCGTTTCGTTTCGCCGCAACGACCTGCCTATTCTTCTCCAAACCTGTTTCCTCTCTGTTCTTCTTATTATTACCCGATACACCCCCCCTTACACTCTTGTGTCTTGTCGTCGCTCTCTCCTCGCCGCTGGACACTTTATTGTTGTTGCTCTCGATGCAACGACGTGACTCGGTTTCACTTCTCCCCCCTCCTCCCTCCTGCAATCCTCGTCCGTCGCGGATCCGCGATGGTATATATATATGTGTGTGTGTGTGTGTGTGTGTGTGTGTGTGTGTATATATACAGCCAAGAAACTTTTTGCCCAGCTCGTTACAGAGGAGGCCTGTCTACGAACCCTCTTTACGCCGCCTTCTCTCGCACGCGATGGATTAACGAGGGATCTTTATGCGAGAGGCGTATCCGAAAGATGGAATAGTTATTTTGGGTATTTTATAATAGTTATATTGCGTATTTTTTTAAGAAATGATCGAGAGATGAGTTAATTATTCTGATCTGTGGATTTTAGTAGAATTTTGGGAATCGTTTCGTTGTTTAGGGATTAAACTCTCTTTTACTCGAGATATGAGTAACACTTTTTTCTCCTTCTTCTTCTTCTTCTTCGTATTATATTATATTATATCACATTGGAGAAGTTGAAGGCAAGGTCTAAATAC